GCGGGCTGGAATGGTGGGGACGGAGGGTGCAGGGTGTCGGAGTGCCCCCTCCACACCCTTGCTCATCACCCCACCTCGCCTGGACAAACCCTCCCCCCTCTGCCTCCACGGGCCGCGCCCCTCATGTGTCCCAAACCCAGGATGGAGTAGGGTCGCACCGCGAGCGCCCCCGTCCTTCCAGCAGCCCAGAGAAGTGAGGTGATTCTTTCCCCGCTTTTCAGATGAGGAAACCGAAGCCGTGGAGGTCAAGCCCCTGTGCTTGCAGGCGTCGGGGCGCTTGGACCCGCGGCCTTCCACTGCGCCGCCCCCCGCCCCTGCAGGGATCACGTCCTGGGAGCCGGACGCCACTGGCTGGACAGAGCTGGAGGAGGGGCCTGTGGCTGCGGGGTCCCGCAGGACGGGCCGGCAGGGGAAGCAGGCAGAGGGAAGCAGGATGTCGGCCACTTACCACCTGCCAGGAAGGCCAAAGACCGGGCAGGTTCACAGTCCAGGGTGGAGGAAACGTTCAGCGGGCGTGGCACGAGGGGCTGCAATGCGGGGGCAAGAATGTCGCCCAGAAAGAAAAAGAAAAATACCGGATGGTCTCATTCACAGCAGGAATTTAGAAAACCTAAATAAGGGACCAGGAAAAAGACTAATTATAATAAAGAAAAAATCAAAATCAACAAGCGACTATAAACCAGAGACACACTAATGGGGGGGGGGGAGAGGAAGGATTAGGGCCAAAATAAGGGGGGTGGGAATTGCACGGGGAATATAACCAAAATGAAAGTATATATATATATATATATATATATTATATATATATATATACACACATACAAAAAAAAAAAAAAAGAATGTCGCCTTTCGTGCCTTGACCAGAGAGATGTTCGAGATGCATGGAGCTGGAAGAGGCGGGTCTCGAACCAGTTTGAGGTGCAGGGTCTGGTTTTGCGTCGTGGAGGAAGACCCTGTGCGCACGCAGGGTGGAAACAGCTGCCCCTTCCCCAGCGTCAGCAACAGGAAGGGAGACGGGGACGGCTCCCTTGTGCTGCCCGGACCTTGTTTGACAAACACGGGACTGAATAATCGGAGAGGGCGACCTGGAAAACTAGTTTCATTTGGAAAATTTAAAAGGAGCAGCCCCCGGCATGGGCCAGAGGTGCTGGCGGTGAGGGGCCTTGCCCTTGAGGCGACACCCGGTCCTCTGTCCTCAGCACCACATCTGACAGCAGATGCTGGCCCCCGGGGTGGCGTGGGGGTGTCGGAATCCACTCTCCCCACGCCCTTCAAGGCCCTCCCACCCCCCAGCCCACCCGCCACCCCCTCTGGCTGTGATCAAAGGCCAAAGTGGAAACGAGATCTGAAACTTCAGCCTGGAAGAGCAGGAGGCGCTGATGTCGGGATAAGGAGGATCGCTGCTCACCAGCTGGGCGCCCCCACCCTGACGCCACCCTTCCCTCTGGCCACCTCCTGGACAGTATCCCAAGCTCTGTGTGGGGAAAGACCCTAGGAGCCCCCCACCCCATCCACAGCCTTAGAACGGATTGAGGGGCTTACTGGGGCACCCCACATGGGCCTCTTTCCTTTGGACTCAGGCCATGTCTCTAGAAGTCTCCTCAGACAGAGTCAGAAGTTCCCAGACAGAGGTGACCCGTGAAACAGCCGGCAGGAGTGACTGGCTGAGCCGCTGGGAGACTCCAGACCTGACAGACTGGGCTCAGGACACGTCAGTTCATTTATTTACTCCTTTTATGCCTGTTGAGGTTATACCGGTTTAGAGAACCCTCCATGCTTTAGAAGTACAGGCCCGTACCTCTGCGAATGTGTGCCACCACATCATGCCATCACCACCACCCCAACAATCCTCCCCCACGGTCCGTTGGGCCCCTCTCCCCTTTGCTCCCAACACACCCCTTTACTCTCCCCCTCTGGTAACCTCAATTCTACAGCCAGATTTCAAGGGTTTGTCTGTTCCTTTGCTTGTTTTTTGTATCCCACGTACGGGCAGAACCATCCCTTCTGGCTTACTTCACTCAGCATCATCCTCGCCAGCTACACACAAGTCATCACAAATGGCGACAGTTCGTCTCTCTTCTTTATAGCTGAGTAGTATTCCACTGTGCACAGACCGTGTCTTCTGTAGCCACTCCTCTGCGGTTGGCCGCTCAGGTTGTTTCCACAGCTGGGCTGCTGCGGGTCGTGTTAGGGCCAGAGGCCCCTGGAGTTAGTACTGCTCTCTTCAGGCAGACCCCAAGGAGAGGGCCATTGCTGGTCATAGGGTAGACCTATTTTTAATGTTAGGGACTAGTCAGTTTCGTGGGAACCAGTGGGGGCCCCAGGGCTGGGGGCATGAGAGGAGGGGGAGCACTAGAGAGTTAGGAAGGGCGCTGTGGCGCAAAGCCCCAGGGAAAGGCCACTGGCTCTGGCCTCAGAGAAACCTGGTTAAAACCCCAGCTCAGGGCCTCCCCGGTGGTGCAGCAGTTGAGCACTGGATTGCAAAGCTGCCCGCAGCCTCTGCAGCGCCGGTTCGATCCCCGGCCACCGGGAGAGGGTCCCACATGGCGCACAGACCTCTCCTGCCGTGCCCGCTACTCCCCTCAGCAGTGTACTTCGTCAGTCTGCCTGTTCTGCTTCCTGCTCTGGCTCTGGTGAACTCTCTCACCCTCCCGCGCTTCTGACTGTACCCAGTGCTTGTATAAATAAATAAACAAACAAACAAACAAACAAATAAATAAAACCCCAGCTCAGCCAGTCCCAGCTCTGCGACCCTGGCCGAGCCATATGGCCTCTCTGAGCATCTTCCTCCTCATCTATAAAATGGGAATAATAGTAACTACTCCACCTGGCAAATAAAGGGATTAGATTTAATATATGCAAAGTAGCTGGGTGATTGATAAGAGGACAATGAATGGCAGCCATTGTTATTGTCACTGAATTTAGAGAAGAGACAGAGGCCCAGGAAGGCCATAGACCTTGTCCAGCAAAGGAGCGATTTGGGCCGTGTAGTCACAGTGTCCATCTGGCCCACCCAGTACCTGGGGGCGGAGGTGAGAGCAGGAAGAGGAAGGGGAAGGGGAGGCACAGGGGAGGTGGCCGATACAAGATATGCAATGATCTTGCCCCATCTGGGTCACCAGCTGCTCCCCAAGAGTGGTGACTCAACTGATGAGGATAAGTCCCCACCCAGAGACTGGTCCCACAGGCTGTGACCAGACCCACAGACACAACAGGCACATGCCAGGGAGGCGCATGGAGTCATCCATCCGCTCGGTGACGCGGGCAGCTCTGGCCTCTTCACAGCCCGCCAGGCTGAGGACCCAGCGCTGCCCACGTGACTCCCTTCAGGCAGGGAGGGCCCAAAGCGTTCAAGGAGTTCACTGGGCCCACACAGTAAGGTCTGTGCGGTTCATCCCATCCAGGCCCAGAGAGGTCAAGTCACTAGCCCAGGGTCACACAGGATGGACCAGGACAGTAGGCTGCCTGCTTTCTGGTGGGGGTGCGCGCCGCTGTGAGTCTCAGGCCTTTTTATCCTAAAACCCCAGCGATGTGAACGCTCCAGGGGCTCGGTGCTCAGAGGCACTTCTCCGAGGACCAGATTCATGGAGTGTTTTCACAGCAGACCTGGTCCAACAGAGGGAGGGACAGTCAAAGCACCCAGCCGTGTGCCCCTGGGATGCGCTTCATTCCCCCCGGGGTCCCCAAATGCCTCTCGATCCGCCGAGATGCCCTGTCCCTGCCCCATATTCCCATTCCACCCCTATTGAATACTCTCCAGAGTAGTGCTGTGAAATTGTCTGCAGCCTCTGCAGCACGGGTTCGATTCCTGGCCGGCCAGGGAGAGTCCCACATGGCGTGATAGACCTCTCCTGTCGTGCCCGCTGCTCCCCTCAGCAGTGTATTTCGGTCTGTCTGCCTGTTCTGCTCCCCAATCTGTCTCTGGTGAATCCTCTCACCCTCCTGCACGCCTCTGGCCTGCACCCCAGCTATTGTATAAATAAAAAAAAAAATCTTAAAAAAAAAACTCTCCAGCCTCCTCCAGGCAACCACCCTGCCCTCTGTGCCTGCCTGTGCCACCCCACCCCCTCGCAATGCCCTGGAGTTGCATCCCTGCCTTTGGGGGCTGGTGATCTCTCTAATCTCTTTTTCTTTTTCTCAGGGGTTGTATATAATATGTATCACCTTGTTGGTTTCTTTGTGGCATTCATCACTCTGGGTGGATGTGTGTCTTGTCCCCCAGCTCTAAGCTCCCCAATAATGGTAACATCATCAAGACTCTCCCTCCTCACCCTCCACCACCTAGGAAAGGACTCTGCCCACTCAGGAGGGTTTGGAGGTTCTGGCCCTTGAGAATCACAGTTAAGAGGGCATCCAGGTTAAACTTCCTGGAAGCAAAAGTGGCTCTTGATTTACTAACCGGATGCCCCAGGGGATCATGCACTTTCCAGAAAGTCTTTGCTTTAGAAAAGGGTGCTCAGTGGGCCGCTCTCAAACAGCAGCCCTCCTGCTACCTGCACAATGGGTTTCCTTATAGAGACCCAACTCAACTGTATTGTGGGCGTTGGGCATCCCAGCAGCCCGCGGCCTGTGAGCTCCGGTCACTTCTTCAAATTGGCATTCAAGGCCCCTCCCCATCTTGCCCTGACCTGTCTTTCCTGAAACAAAAATGATGGTGATGATGGTGGTTGGCATTCACTGGGTGCCCAGTGTGTGAGGACACCTTATTCATTCCCTAGGTGGCTCTGAGATGGAGCAGCCATTGTCATCCTCACTGTAGAGAGGGCAGCGGAGAAAAATCTGGAATGTCCCAGAAAGGAGC